ACAAAATGCTCAATAACATCATCATTCAAATAGTTTGAAAAGTTAGGTACAGTTTGCCATAAGAGTAACAGTCGTAGGCAGTATGCCAAGTCATGCACTCGCCGATGACATAGTACTTCATTTTTATCTATTTATCGTCACAATAGAGGAGTGAAAACAAATCAGTGGTTGTCGAGAGGGGTGACCGAGAGAAAAACGAAGTCTGTGCGTGTGCGACGCGCCCTACGGTGTGTGTGTCGACGATCGACACCTTGAAGCGGCCAATGACATACGGTTCTCGGCTAGACATCTTGTCCGGAAAACTAAGCGATGTCCTCCAGGCGCTACCGTTCTTGTACCCCGGCTAGGGACTGTTCTAGGGTTCATGCGATGAGCGGAGGTTCCGGCTAACTTTCCTGACTGCTTCATTGCAACCGCGACGAGCTACGACTGCATTTCGGCTGCGAAGATGACCGAGGAAGCAGGCGAGGTGCCGTTGTCTTCGCTGTCATTTACTGCGACCGATCATTTTCCATGAGTGGTGAACCACCACTGCTGACTTTCTTGCAAGTCGTTGAGACGACCCGAGTGCTGTCGGATGAACGTGGTGTCCACGCTGCCGAGCTACTGCAGCAAAGATCTGTGCCCTGGCGAGGGCTGACGGGCGTTAATTACGTCAACAAGCCAGACGGTGCATCGTCTCTGAGCCAACGATATTGACGTCTCAACGACTTGTACATGGTGAGTGGTTTCTACTTTAAAGACAATTAGCGCAGCTACGACTGTATGTAATTGATTGACCCAAGTGATACTAATTATTAGTTCAGTTTTAATTGTAACATTGTTGGTGTTAATGGTGTCGTGCATCGAGTCAGTTCTTTCGTTAGTGGTCCTTCGCTCAAGAAAAATACTGATATTACATATCACAAAGCTACACAGGACCCTGCAGGCACATTAAGAATTTCTACCTCGCACCCTAAGAAGCTAGCGTTTATTTTTACATGTATTCCACGATAACACTCCTAAGTATATAGCTAAGGCTACAGCAAGGTGACTACCTTGATTTGCTTTTCTCGTCGGTAGGGATGTGCACTGAGTTATTGTTCGCAAAACTGTACTGTTTTGAGCAAATAATAAGGTCACTGCGCACTGAGAACGGGAGCCTTTTAAACGGGAGCAAAAGAGGAAGAATGACTTGGCTTGGATTGAGATACTGCACTCTGTGCACTCTCATGATATATGGTTCAATATAATAAGTTCATTATTAGCAGAAAAAATCAAGATCGAAATATCATTTTTGACCTACGCACCCAAATCTCGATGGAATGTAAGAAATTGCAAGATGTAGTTATCGTATTTTCGATACATCGCCTCGATCAATTTTTCGAAACTTCGTATGGCAAGTTTATGCCAGCAACAGATGACAACGTATTTGATTTTTATCCATTATGGAGCTACGTAGAAATCGGTAGACACATCATTCAAAATTTTTTTCGTCACGGTGTTTCGGGTGGGAATCTCAAGGCGGCGTCGCCCCTCGTATGTTCTTGTCGCACGTTTTCTCGCTTGCTAAACGTCATGTCGTCGTAAAAGTGGCGTTTTCGGGATCTTGAAATCATACTTTACTGACACATGAAAAATAGTTTTGATATTTAGTGTCCATTTTAATGAGTCATAATTTCAAGCTCACAATGAAACATCGTCATAGATAGCCATAATTTGGATGGTGACTTACGGCAACTTAGGCCACGGCGTCCGTTCGCATCGACAAGGCACCATGTCTCTTTGTTGATGCATTCTTCGTGAATAATACCCTCGCAAGGGTTTTCAGCTGAAAGAGACAGCAAAACAGCATGTGTATCAGCTGAGAACCTTCTTTTTTTAGTTGAAAAAAAAACACAGTAAGCGTTTATTGTTAAAAAAAGTCTATTACTAACAAATAAAACAGCATGCAATGTGATCTGTGCTTAATAGCAAATGCAACAAAGTATAGAGTACTGTCTTAATTCACATACTAAGGTTGTATGAGACATGGACCCCTGAGTGCATGAAATTGTGTTTAATACATAAAGGATCTTCACAGAGGTTCTTGATTTTGACAGTTTGAAGGTAGTGCAATATATGAAAATAATTTAACGCTGTAAATCACATACTGTAGTATACATAAGAAGAATACGCATTGCAGTGCACTTTATTCTAGTAAACACTGTGGAACGAGTGCTCTGTTCTACCCGAATAGTGAACGCTCAAATTGCACAGCGCAAACTGTCGATGATCTCTTGAGCTTCATCTGTCATATCTGTTGGGGGCGAAAACGCAGCCATTTCGGTGCAAATGGCTGATGTTTATATTCGTTCTGCGATGACTTCTCATTTCTACGTGTGCGGTTCAGGCAACTAGGTAACCCGGTCAATGCCGAGAACAAGGGTAGGAGTAATTTTAATCCACTTTATCAGTTACGTGAACAAATAAAACAGCGAACTAAAGCGCACCTATACCGTCAACAAGATTTGCATCTTCGGTAGTGACCGTCATGCCAAAAGGTGCTCTACAACCTCAGCTCTTAATTCTCCGTGCAATTTAATTGCTTGACTGCAAAATAAATGCACCTAAAGAATAATATATCACTGTATATGTATTTCAAAACAGAGGGTTCACATCATGAGTGCGAGAGAGGACGTGGTTCATCAACATAGCTTTTCGATGTTGCAGATTGACAGAAGCATGGACTGACTTACTTACACGTGTATAAGCAGTGCCACAGCTGCTGCTGCGCACGTGCGCGGCAAATCTGTGCCGCCACCAACACCCGATCATGAAATTCACTGCCTTGTAAAGCCTTGCAAGCATCGGAAGGCAGTGTGCGCCTACCTTCTGTGCGCCGAAGTTCATAATGCGCACGCCTCCTCCGCCACTATATCTTTCGCCTTGCAACCTCCGCTTTGATTTTTACATGTGAAGCGCTTTTGCTCCGGATTGTGTCTGTCGCTCGGTGACCGTCCGCTCCCATACTGCGCGTGGGCTGATTCCCGCCTTTGACGCGTGAGCGCGAGCAGGTGAGAGGATGGTCACAGAGTGGTGCCTCTACTTCGTTCCTTCTTTCCTGTATATCCGTCACGCCTGTGCGCTCATACATAATGCTGCGAGCACTCGCTTCACTGCACTCTTCTAGCAGCGCTGGGTGTTCACTTTGCGGCACACACACCGTGATACACACCAGTGCGAAAGGGGTAACATAAATCGTGCGCACAATATTCGCAACTCCATGGATATATGCAACATACACCGAAACATACAAATGGAAATAACTATTGGAAACACAGGTGAACACAAGCGCTCCTTCACGTTCTACATGGTTTTCTTTATTGAAAGATGGTGTAATTGTTTGTGTCGCTTCCACTCGATCAGCATTCGCTGCGTACATGGAGTGCTCAATTACAGAGCTGTACATGTTCTGCGGTCGTACCATCAATGAAGCTATTTCTTTGGTAGATCGTCGTATTTGTAGTTCCACGATCACGGACGATTATATGCTTGTATGCTTCTTGCGAAATTGCGCGGGGCATGATAATGCACGCCTCAGAGGCCTTAGAAAGCAAAGGACACAATATTCTTGAAAGAAAAGGTAATGAACACAGAAGCGTGCAAGAAAACCAAAACGTCAACACTCAATATGCGGTGTAGATTACGACCAAAGGCGTTATAAACAAGCAGTGTTTATTAACTCTTTCGGACATGGTGGACACCCCAGGTAACCAGCTTTTACTCATTTTTGACTCTTGAAATATGTGAGCCCCGCGTGTCGGATTCAAAATGGCGCATATATTGAAGCTTTCGGGAATCTGATAGAGATGATGCTACTTCGTTTGGAATTCATTGTCACATGTTACGTTTGCTTTCTTCCGGCTGCCATTGTCTTCCAGGCAAGGTAGATGGCGGACCCAATATATTTTTATAGACACATGCGTACTTCCTGCATGCTAAGATTTTAGGGCAGGAAACCGTTTTGTATGAGTACCTAACGCTAAGTACTATAGAAATGAAGATCTGAATTTTCACTGAATGTGACTACAGTAGACTTACTGCACGGTGGTCCCCTCAGGTGACCAACGCATAACTTTTGAACTAGAATTGCTAAATTTTTGTTTCTTGCGATAAACTCCTTTCCTGCAAAATATTTCACAATGCTTCAATCAAATCTGTTTGCTAACAAAAACGGAGGCCCTTTTGTGAAAACGTTAAACAATCTTACTCGGGACGCTTTTCTGTACAGTGTCAAAACGCGCGATTTTTGTTGGCTTGCCTACCGCTCATGCACAACTACATGCATTGTTTATTTCGAAAAACGTACTTCCCTTTTCTACTGCCCTTTTCTTCTGCTCACAGTAAGATATTTAAGCGAGGCATAGCACGAACCTGCCTTGAGAATGCTTTAGATAGGTCGTGCGCCCACAATATCTCTGCGAGCTTCAAAGCTCAAGTTTCCCGCCTTAAGACTTCAGGTTTCCCCGAGGCGTTTATCGCGTCTCTTGCGGAGACGATCCTGCGGACTAATAAGGCGGAGCAGAGGACGCGACAGAATCTGAGCAACACGGATACAGAACGTGAAAGGATAGCCGTAATTCCATACATACACCAGATATCACATAGGCTCAAAAAAATCGGAAAACGTGTTGGAGTTCGTGTCCTGTTCTCTGCCCCGTTCAAATTAATCAGCCTCACCAAAACTACCAACCCCCTGAAAACGAATCATCGACAGATTGCAGAGTTCAACATCGAAACAGGTATGCGGCCTGCTCCCGGGAAGTCGTCTATAGGACCCCCCTTTCATGTGGTGCTTGTTATGTCGGAACGACCGGAAGATGTCTGAACGATCGGCTGAGAGAGCACGCGAACAATGTTAAAAACGGGAAAGATGGTTTTCTTGCCCAGCACTGCACTGAGTGCAAGTGTGTTCCCCTCTTCGAGGAAACAGCGACGTTGTACAAACACAGAGATGTAAGCACCCGGGTCATTGTCGAGGCTGCGCAGATGGCACGCGAACAGGTGCCTTGTGTTAGCAAGTCCTCCGTGGCTTTGTCCGAGAAGGAACACAGGTTCCTCGAAGGATTCGGTGTGTGCAGGTAGCTTCACTTTGCTCTTTCGGTTTCTTCTAAGTTTTTCTTTGCTGTTTTTCAGTGCCTTTGTATTTGTGTTGTTTGGTTTGGTTTTCTTACTCAAGTTCTGCTCTTGTGCCATATGGTTTTTATCACATGGTCACTGTCTCCTCTATATATTTTCGTGCTCTGCGCAATAAACTCAGTTGGAAGTTAGCGCTCGTGTCTTTCGTGTCCTTCTTGTCTCTGTGTCGTCGTTTTGTTCTCGCGCTATAACTGTCGTCATGCCATACCAACTAGCCCAAGCTGCCACACTTCTAAGTACGACAGAAGCTATGGCGAATAGTGTAAGGATACCTCTGGCTAAAGAAGCAAGCCGAAAAATTTAGCACAGCGTTGCACAGGTCTCGCAGAAAATACGTGGTTTCAATACCTGAACCGTGTTATTATAATCACAGTGGAAAATGCAACAAAAGTGTATTGCTGCGCAAGGTCACCTGAGAAAGCTAAGAAACAGTCTCCTCTGCAACGAACACTTTTCTTGAATACCTATTTCAGATAAGAACCATACGCCCCAATTGGCCTCAAAATTGTGGAGTGGCGCACCCTAGCGTATGACATAAGCGCGAGGACTCAGTTCTCAACCACGCTGCTGCTGCCGCTGACCCGTGCGCGGCTTCCGGCGAAAACCTAGCCGAACGAACAGACTTAAGAGCATGAACTACCACTTGCAATACATTTTTTGAAGTGCAGTTATGCAGTTGTTTTCGTTGCGACCCAATCTACAGGGTCAAAAAGTGAAACGTTCTTACTAGCAACGTCTGTGGTGTATCATTTTCCCATGGAAACGGCATGTACCTGTGGCCTAGTGCTTAGGGCATCAGACGTCGTCTGTACCGGAAGACCAGAGTTCAGGTGTTTAGATATTCCATAGGCGTGTATTATCTAGTTCCTACAAGTATATAGATACAGCTTGCGAAACGCCGTGGTCTTGCTGACGGCGTGGAGTTGCACGATGCAGGTGACGTTGTCGAGGTTGCGCTGTCAAGGTTCTCAACAGAGATCGCATCACCATCGCGGCTCTCTTCCTGCAAAGAAGTGAACTTGTGAACCCACCCCACAAGGTCTCTGAGGTGACGGAGTGCGCGCTTAATATTCCTCATGCAGTTTCACTAGGCACATAATGTTTCTGTGTGGTGATCGAGTGCTGCGCAATAGTGAAGTACTACTCCGTAGATTTTGTCCACACGAGAAAAGAAGGTTAGCTTTCTCAAAAAAGTCACAGCTTTGCCGCGAAGGTGAGGCAGTGAACGCGATAGCAACAAATTGGAAGGCCACGCACAGAATGGCAAGCAGATTGAAACGTGTGCCACGCTTCTCACGCACACCGGGACGCACCAAACGTACTCACAGGTACAGATTATAGCGAATAAGTGTCTCAATTGTTACTTCACTGTGTCTGAAAAGCGTGCCCTTTTCGCAAACAGAGGCTGTGCAACAATTGCCGTGACCTTTGTGCGCTCGGAACCTACAGCAGAATTGTTCCAACGAAACTCAAAGGCTAGCCAAGACGTACGATTCTCCAGATTGCAAGACAAGGGTGCATGGTCGAGCGTACACCCACTTATTCTCTACGTGGGCCAAAGTACGCGTCAGAGGTGAGAGCCGCTGCGCTCTACTGCGCCATCTTGCTGATAATGCTGAAAACACAATAGTCCCCCTCCCCCGATATGCC